AGACCACCAGCTGCTCAGTGGGAGAAGGATGCACAATCTTTTCCTGTGCAATTAACAGCCTCTGAAAACCTGCCAGAGGATCAACTTTGAGTCGGTTCCCACTCTATAGTACACGACAACAATGTTAGGGCTATATAGGGAGCACTGGATGACCTACTGACAAGAAACTGTGCTGCAATTCACTAACTGCTCCCTGGGAGAAGGATGATGCGTTATCTCCTCCCCTGCAATTAACTGCCTCTGAAAAATCACTGGAGGGTCAGCAATGGGTTGGTTCCTAATTGATAGTATAGAACAACAACTACATTAAGGATATACTCTAAAGAAACCTGAGTTGCAACACAAATAAATGTATGCACACCCATGTTGATTGCAGCATTATTCACAATGGCAAAGAAGTGGAAGCAGCCTAAGCACCCATAAACAAATAGACAAACTGGTACATTCACACAATGGAATGTTACAGAGCATTGAAAAATGGTGAACTTTAAAAACATTATACAATATGAATGAGTTTGGAAGATATTGCACTGAGCAAAATATCTCGGCCACAAAAGAAAAAATACTGCATAAGACTGTTGTTATAAAAATAGGATGAGCACAGATGGCTGACGGGGAGAAAAGAAAAGAGTGGGTAGATAATGAATACTACACTGGAACAGGTAAAGGGAAGGATTGTCTAAAAGGAATGGGTGTTTAGGCATGATATATATGATAATTAACAATCTGAAACAAGATATCCATTACAAAGTTAGTTGGGGAAGGCGAGGGAGGAAAATGTGTATCAATAAACAAACGAAAACCTAACATTTCTGTAAATCCTCACTAAAATTGCAATTTTTAAAAAAGGAAAAAAAGTTTCAAAAATATGCGAAATTTTAAAAAGAACCCAAGAATAAATCTTGTGGCATTAAAGTATTTTAAAAAGAGTCAATAAGAAGGGAAAGAGTTAAATAGCTATAACCCGACTCAGAAAGTAAAAGTAGAAGAATTTCCAGTCTAACTTTTTATGAAATTATTAATATGTTAAATCTTCTTAATAGTGAAGTTTCTTGGATTCCCAAAATTGTTTTTTCAGTTAATGATCTAATGGTTTTTTTCTCCAACCCACTCAGCTGTACTGCAGAAGAAATGCTTGAAAATCAGCTTCTATATTGATTGCAGGCAAGAGAACCTTAGAGAGCAGTTCTCCCAAACATACCCGTTTCAAATCATTTGAATGACCAAGATGGTAATAGATTGATGTTGTTGTTGTTGATTGTCTTTGATTTGAGCACAACTCATAGCAACCCTATGAACAAAAGGCCTAAAGCCCCTCTGTTGATAGAAAACTATCAACATTCATCGAAGTTCATACAGTTTCCAGAGGCAAGGTGATTAGGAAGTGGATGCCACTCCTGCTTCCAAATAGATTGATTGTTGTTGTTGTTGTTGTTATGTGCCGTCGAGTTGCTTGTGACTCATAGCGACC